CTACCTGTGGCTGCTGTCACACTTCTTCTCTGCTTGCATTCAGTGTGCTTTATTGACATTGTTCAGTGTACCCTTTCAAATACAACAGTTTTCAGCAAAGACTTCAGTTTCTACAAAGTGTTTTCAGCAGATAGTTCTCCTGCTGTTTTCAGATTCCACTACACGGCATTCACACTGCATTTTCGCAGGAAATGCAACTTTTTCTAGTTACTGATAGATTTCAGCTGGTGCTGTGACTTCCCATGCCTTTTTAAACCTCCCTTTATTCAGGTATTCAATAGTTTTTTCCCTTTTGTCATTTCTCATCATTACACATAACTGAATGTATGGACATCAATGGTTTGATTTCTTTGCATATGTGGAAATGGTGTTGAATGGTTTGTTGCCAATATCTGGTGAAAATCTCATATTGATAGCACCTTTTAGAATTATATTTACACTGAAAATTGGTGATGGGTTCAATACTTTATCTGCTGCACAGACACAAATAGAAATTAACACGTGCTACCAGAGCAAGCAGTGTTAATACTATAAAATGTATAATGTAATCATAGCTTTCAGCTAGCTCAGAGTTTAAATATGTCATTGACATATTAGCAATGGAGTTTTATAATGGAAAGTTGTTTATATATAATTTTTTAAACAGTCGTTTGTTTTTTTTCTCAGGCTAATGGGCCCAATAGTAAAACTGTCAATGAAATATATCTGCAACTTAACACATCGCAAAATACTCAGAACCTTAAATCAAATGTTATCCAGACAGATGGTGGAAGCCTGATAGTTTAATTTAGTCTGGTAATTTTCATGAACAGATAAGTGTCATCTGTGACAGAATGGCTTTGTGTGGCGCAATTGAATTGTTCAGAGACGAGAGAAGTTTTACATTCTCTTTGTCTGCTGCAACATCTTTGAGGTGTAATGCACTGGTACTAACAAGTTCTCTGCTTTATTGTGACATCAGAAGAAATTCCTGTCAAAGTCAGGAAAAGGAAATTGGCATCAGAGCACAGAACAGAAAGATGCATTTACTTTTATGCTTACCCAACGGCATTAGGACAATGATGCAGTGAAGAAAAATGCCATTTATGTAAAAACACATCAGTTGTTTAAACTGTTGATAAGTAGTGATACAATCAGCTGGCAATACATCTACACTGTGTGCGCGCGTGTGCACATGCGCACTTGGATGCATGTATTCCATTCTTGCTGCAGACTCAAGCTTGTTTTTGTAGCACACACCAGCACAGTGGTTTTTGTAACGGAGATGCAAATCAGTTGGCAATTTCTCACACATATTGAGCTGTATGCTAAAGAGCTAATTAACAAGGGCTGTTATGGCGTTCACAAGCTCCTCTGACATCTTAATTAGATCTTAATGACATTTCAGTTGGAATGGCTGAACTGAGTACCACAAGATGAGGCAAAACCACTGCTGATATGCAGAGAGAAATCGGAACTGTGCAAGACATGGGACACCAGTATGCGAAGCAACAGAGGAGAGGAGTGATAGTTGAGGATGTGAAAGTGAAAAAAATCTAAATAGGGATGGATCGAAGGACATTTTTGGCTTTATGTCTGCACAGTAGTTTCCTGTGTTGAGATAATGTGATTGTGATTTACACTGATACACATTTCAAGTTGTTGTCCTCTCTCTGTTTTTTCTCATCATGCGTCTTCGTTCTGTTTCGCTCTCCAATTGGGATATGGGACTATATGTCGCCCAGTAATTACTCTGTCCATGTCCCAGTAGCATTACACATCTCATATCAGCCTCTTAAACAGATTCTTAGCATTTATTACCATAAAATTTCAATGTACTTACCCTGGAAATAACTAGATACAGCTTGCACTGCCAGTGTAGTAATGATATTTCTGTCAGATAGATGGCTGATTAGATACAATAATCTTCTGTAGTGCTGTGTTTTGCATTGTAGATGGTTTTGCGTAGTCTGCAGTGAATTGCAGGGGAAATCTTTTTTTTTTTTTTTCCGGTGGACAGTATTTTTAGCTGAAAGGTTGTTGCACGTTTATGAAAAATAATCTTTCCAGTGAGTGAGGAACCTTAAATGATCCCTGTTATTGTATCATTTTTAGTGATCCTTAATTACCTTCCTGCTATTGGCTAGGGTACACAAACAGATGGGTACAGACAAAATCAAAACCCAGAGAAAGAGAGAGAGCCACTGATTCAAACCTTTGAATGCAAATATTTATTTATCAGATGAGTTGCTCTGTCTGTGTTTTCCTGGGCTCAGCTGGCCTGTACTCCTTTCACTTGAGAGCTGCTATTATAGGAGAAGGGACAGGGACATTTGGAGAGAAACTACATCGAAATCTAGGGGACAATGATGAGGGGCCTAGAGAAAGCACAAACTAGAGATTACATGAGAGAAATTGAGGGAGGAAAGGCTAAATAGAAACTTTGTGTGAAGCCCCTGGCGAGGTGCAGAGCGAGGAATAAACAGAGTAGATGTTGGTTGAAAGACTGGGCAGCAGGAGACGTATTACTAAGAATCTGTGGGTTTCTACAGATGTTGTTCTGTGTGCAGCCATTTCTGTTTATCACTTTCCTCTCCTTTCCCCAAGTCCTTCTTCTCGTCTCAGTTCTGCCTCTTCTGTCTAGCCTAAATCTGTCAGAATACAGCCTCGAATACCTGGCAACAACTTCCTTTTACAAACACCCCCTTGTCTACCCATCTTCCCTCCCTTACAATGCCTCAAGCTTCTGTTCATTAGCTCTTTTTTGCTGTTACTCCCCGCTTTTATTCATTTTACTTAGTCTTTATGGGTTTACTTAGCATTTTATTTGCCCATAAAGGGTGATATGTGTAGGCACTTGTTTTTCAGTAGCACAATCTGCAATTATTTTTAACAGTACTGAGTCCACAGATGCCTGTGTAATTTGTTAGTGTTCCTTTCAAGAAGGCCATGTTTATTTTCCCCTTGTACATCTGCAAAGTGGAACATTAGGGCCCACATGGTCTGTGTATTTCACAGCCTTCACAGCAAATCTGGGAAATAGATTGTTAAAGACCTCTGCAAATTCTAATCTATTTGTGTCAGTCATACATTTCCTTTTGTGCTTCTCCTCTTCATGTAGCGTTCTGTCTGTGGCCAGGCTAACTGATGACCCATTAACCCTCGTCTGGCAGGGCTTTAACTATCAGACAGCTTGTACTGTACTTTGGCTGCTGGCTCCCAGTTATAAGGAGCAAAAGAATAGCAGTGTGTCACCCTGATGTACTGTGAGTCGGTCATTGACTGGTAGCTTTGTCAGATGCTATATAGTGTACTCTATCTGCAGCAAGTGGATAGGAGTTGATCTTACTCAGCTCGCTCATAATCACACCATGCCTTGGATGCTATGTGTATTATTCGCTATGGTAACAAGCAACAGCATATATGGTCTGTAACAACAGTGATTAGAGCCTCTGCCCAAATTCCAGGTTCACAGATGCAGATACATTTGTGATGGGGGATGTGACGTACGGCGCCTGCTGTGTGGACGACTTCACTGCTCGAGCCCTGGGAGCTGATTTCATGGTGCACTATGGCCACAGTTGCCTAAGTGAGTCTCTTTACTGTCTATTTGGATGGTTTTTTCTCTCTTCATGACTTTTCGTGTAGAGAATGTCAAGTGATCTAGCATCGAAGACACCCACTTACTAAGAGTGGGTTGCATAAAAAAAAAAGAAGCTTCAGAACATAGACATACCAACAACGACAGACTCACAGACAAAGCCATCGATCAATGGAAAATGTTACTAGTTGGTGCATTCTTCCCAACTCTAGTTTGGAAAGCATATCAGATGTTTGGAGCCTGGGCATCACATTTACTCAGCAGATCAATGGAGGACATGCATTAGAGCCGTTCTTTGAAAACCTCAAGCAGTTCTCGAGGACCTTCACCCTCGCCCCCACTGTCTGCCTTTCGCAGAACATGGGAGGAAATGTTAAATCAATAGTTTTGATATATCTCTGCCAGAACGACCTCACCTATCCCAAATACCAGAAATGACCAACAGAATTTTAATACTACTGAAAAACGCTCTCTTTCGCTCTCTGTCTCTCTTTTGGCTTTATTGTGTTCATTGTGTTAGTCTTTGTGTATGTGCTGTTGGCATATTTATAATTTGATTATCATGGAGCAATTATGTATGCAGGCATGTATGTTTACAAAAGATAAGATGTGTACCTGTTTATGCTGAGAGCAGCCCAGCAAATGCAAGGATAAAGGCGTTAAAGTCTTTGCGGGTTGGGATGGAGATCAGATATTAATTGATGGAAGAGATTAAAAAAACAAACAAACCCAAATGGACTGCAGATCCTGAGAGAATGCAAATGTAATGGTGGTGTCGTACATCCGTCCCTGACCTTCATCTCTCAGTCGTGAGGACATCACTGCACTGTTTCCCCAAGATGTCAGCCACCTGTGGGAGATGAAAGACACAGTGTTTTGACTGACTCACAGAGGAACTCTCTCTCCCGCATTCATTCATTTCCCTTTCATTTCCTCTGCAGTATCTGCTTTTGAGAGTAGTGGTGTCTTCTCATATTTTCTCATCATAAAGCACCTCCAGTTTGAACCGGACAATATGGGCAACATCATAAAACCGTGTTCAAACATTGCTTGCAGATATGAGTTTGGGGACTTTTTTGTTGATGTTTAACCTGAATACCATAGTAGTTGGAACAGAACAGCCTGAGATAAACTGGGGAACATACTGGAATGAAAATATAGAATCCAAAATTGAACTCCAGGAAGGAAAACTGTCAGGAGATAGAAGCTCCCCTCCGATAATGCCAGGAAAGTTTTACTGGTCTTCCTTAAACATCATGAGTAGATCCTCACTATTAAAGTCATTTCAGAACATGGCCGTGGCACCGATTTTAGAGTAGCTAGTCGTATTTGTGAGGTACTGAATAACAGTTTTATAATTTTTATAACAGCCCAGGTAACAGTTCCCATCTGTAGACACTTGCTGTAGGATTTTTATTATATACGACTGTATTGATTGTTTTGAGCAGTTGAAATGTTGTCAGCAGTATCAGATTATGACATTAACTTTAAGTGAGAATCCTCCCATGTCCTGCTGTTAATGTTTGAATTCATTGTGAATCAATACACTGTTTGGATTGCTCCATCAGGTAATAGGGAAGTCTTCAGATGATTGTGGCTATGGTGAATAGCTTTAGATAATAAATTTAATAAACGTATAACCTTGACTGCCCTCTACAACACCACAGTACCATATTGTATTACATTTCTATTTTTATATATTGCCCTCTTTACTCACATCCGTTTTCTTGTTAAATTGAGCTCCTTTGTGTATTTTGTGCCATTCTCAGTTAGCGGTACTTATTATATCAAGCTAGGTTGCTTTTTATGTTTTGGCTACTTTAACAATGTAATTCACCAACTTTTGGGTCAAATAAATGTCATATCTTATTAAACCATAATAGTATAGCAAGCATCTCTTATTTCATTATATAAATGCTAAAGCCATTCTCCAATCCAAGTTAAATGCTATCACATTTCCCCACATAGATAATACAGATTATTTCAGGACCACATTTTCAATATGCCAAACGATTGGCTTATTGTTCATGAATTATACAGAGGTACAGAATCAGAATATAGTTTGTTTTTACATATTGATTTTTAACAGACCATTTGTAACCAAGCCAGTATAGCACTATGTCCACCCTTTTGTTCAATTTGAGTGTGCATTTGTGTTTGTGTTCATGGGCATTAATAAGCAGCTGTGCTAAGTGAGCTTATAGCCATGAAAAGGATAAAACCAGTGATGGTGCAAGTGAGTCGTGTCTGTCTCATTGACTGTGTCTCTGATTGCAGCACCTAAGTGCTCTCAGGCTACCATGCTAATGTGAACACAGATCGATGTCACTTTCCTCTGCCCTTTTATGTTTTGGGAGTGTCTATAAACAAGCAACAGACGGTTGTTGGTCTCAGTCTAGATTTTTACCTATCTCCCCCTCATGATGTATTTAACTATTTGGTTTCTCACTCAGCGTGTGGCCTGCAGCAAACCCCACTGTTTTAAATATCTATCCATCTGTTCTCCTTTACTCAGAGCTGAAATGTGAGCCCATTCATCACCTCTGTTCCCAGTTAATTGACAACCTACCCTTCACACTCAAACTAAATACCCATAACACACACACACACACTCGGTATCCTGTTACTTTTTCCACTCCTGCCTCCCATTCCAAAGCATTTGCTCTTTATACAGTTTATTATAAAATCATCTGCCCACACCCCCAAATTAAATTTCTCTATTTTCCAGCCTACTTTCATGGGAATGTTTCATTCTTCTCCCATTTCCATCACAGCTGCCTTCAGTCCTTTGTTAAAACAGCTCTTATGTTTTCCCACTATCCCCTCTTTATTCACTCCCTATTATCTGCACATTGTTGAGCCTTGCTCCCATATCGCTCTCTCTCTCAGTGTTGCTTTAATCTAGGCCATCAAGTGAGCTGCACTTGTTCATAAAGCATTTCAACCATAATGGGCCATTTGCTTAATTGTAACAAAAAAAGTCCCCTCGCTTCTGATCTGCAAATTAACTGTAGCACGAGAGGAAGACCGATTATAATGATCAACACAAACAATAATTCTTCGTTCTTATCTGTACCCTTTCCCCCCTTGTTTCTTGGACTCTCCCCTGCTTTATTCAGCATCTAACTCAGCATGTCTGTAGCTACGTCTCCCAGGCCCGGGCGCGTAGTAAATGGTCTGTGAAATGAATGGCATTAATAGTAATCGCGTGTGTCCTTCTCCTTCCCTAAATAATTGAGGTCTTTGCATCAGTTCCTGCACGTGCTAGACTCTCACGCTCTATGTTTCAGTTATGTCACATAGGTGCGTACCGTATGATCTTTATATTTGCAGTATGCTCACATACGGTCTATCTGTGTAGCTGTATTGCTATGTGTATATATGTTTATGTTTTGATGTTCCATATACAGCAGTCTAAAGAAGCAGGACTGAAGTATTCATCTGTCTTTCTTTTGTCTTTGTCTTGCTGCAGTCCCCATAGACTCGACAGCAGGTATCAAGATGCTGTATGTGTTTGTGGATATCCAGATGGACAATGCACACTTCCTGGACACAATCAAGTTCAACTTCTCTCCTGGACAGTCTCTTGCACTCGTCAGCACTATTCAGTTTGTGGCGGCGCTGCAGGTGATTAAGCGCCGGTTCTGTCAGACTTTGTGTGCATTTGTGTGTGATTCTCGCGTCGGAGAGAGCTGACGCACACAGTTATTGTCACTTGTATTTTCCGTATTACATAAAGAGTATATTTTTCTGTATAGTACAGGAATACACACACACATCTCTGCATTTGTACAGTATACTTTTTTTGCAGTTCCTGGCTTTTATGAACAAGCTCACACGCCGCTCTTAAAGCTCAGTTCAAGTGTGGGTTTGACAAATCCGGCAGCAGTTATTTTGGATTTGAAAGGTGCAATGAACTCGGAAGGCCGCTCGGTTCAGCATCGTGCTCAGTAGTGCTCTTTATATAAGCAGTGGCAGCAGCTATAGTATTAAGCTCGAGCAGCCTTCTTTCAGGCTGGCTGCCTCCCTCTTCTATAATGCATTTTGCTGCTTTCATATGCTATGTTGAACCAGCACCACTTTGGACCTTTACTAATGCAACCACCACTATTTTTAATTCAAGCTCTACCCTAACAGGTCACATTATATGATGGGATGTTTGAGTCCGCCTATCTGTATATGTCTGCATAAGTCTCTATGTTTTGTATGCATGCTTGCGCCAATCTCACTCGTGTCTTATGTGTGTAGGCTTGTTGGGGTCACACAGTACGGGCGGGAGAAGTTCACCCGTATTCCCTGTGGATTGCCTTAAATTAGCCTTAAATCGTTTGTTTATCCTCAGAACACACACACTTTTTCCTTTTTTTTCTTATAATAATTGTTCACTCATTTTCTCTTTTCATCTAAATGAGTACACATGAACTAGTTCGTTTTTCTAAAAATTAAAGCACTCTTTTTTGGTGCTTTGCAGAAGCATGAGGATTTAAACACCAGTTGTGTGTTAAGAGTTACACTTCTGGCAGAAAATCATTCATGAGCCTTTCAGTATCACTTGAAGTTGACATTTTCAGTCTTTTAAAAATATTATATTATTATAATATTCTATATATTTGCACCAGTGGTAATAGTGGTAATCCCCTATCTTCTGACTTTTAATTCTGTTTTTCCCTTTTGCATACATTGAATCGAGACCACAGACAGTTGCGCGTTTTTATTCCTCGGGTTCATATCTTTAGCGTGTTCAATTTAAAATAAAACAATGGACACTACATTAAAGTGCAGGTCTCTGCATAAACTTCAAAACCCATTAAAAGGCAGACTTGGCTTTAATGTAATATCTATTGTTTTGTTTTACTTAAATGTCCTACAGCACAGAGCCTGATGGAAGATGAAGAAAAATGTTTGGTCTGTATGTTTTCTGTAGGTTCAGACTCAGCCACATTCATATTCGATGCATCTCTTGTTATCTTTCCGTTATTAAAAATGTAAAAATGAACCATCAAAAGTGAAGAACCTAATTAAATATGTGCACAGAGAATATAATCCCTTCTCCTTCCTCCATATTCTAGGCTGTGAGTGCAGCCCTCAAGCCAGAGTATGATGTGCTTGTCCCACAGTGTCGCCCTCTGTCACCGGGAGAAATTTTAGGCTGCACCTCCCCTCGCTTGGAGCGCCATGTCAATGCCATTGTGTAAGAAATCGTATTCCTCCTGTCTCCCACCTTACAGTGTCTGCCCAGTTCCTTTTTTTTAGTTAGCACAGATTAGATAGCTGCAGAGATCCAGCATTGACTCATCCAGCCATTGTCTTCTCTCTCCTTTCCTTCCATAGTAAAGCCTGCTATTGCCATGCCCACCCATGTGGCATGAGTATAATCTGTATGCCATAATGCCTGTCACACCAGACTGAGCTGGCTGTGATAAACAGCCATATCTGTGAGCTGTAAGCAGCCAGAAACGGCCACCGTGAATAGCTTGAATTGTATGTATTCAGACACCTTTGGCTTGTTTCAAGCCAGAGTCAATATATTCACATGTTTTATAGTTTAGATTTAAGGAAACGCTTTAGCAAAATATAACACCTACTATATGTTTCCATAGTAAGGATTGACAGGTTTCCTTGATATATTAGTTTGTCTGTAAATTAGTTTCAGCTTGTCTGATTGCCCGTTTTAATTTCTTATTTTCCCCATTTATTTAATCTTAATCAGAAAAAACAAAATGATGCATCCAGTCAGGAGCTGCATGTACCCTAAAAGACTACTTCCTGTGTATTTTCACAAAAACACCGTTCATGTGCGATGTGTCAAAGTGATGCTTATTTTGCCTGTGCTGCAGGGAGGAAAACGCTTGGCAAAGTAACAGGTCCAACTAACAAACAACACCTCCGCAGCTACTGTGTGTCTATACATCTGGTGCTGGTCTGCAGTAGATAAATCTTATGCTTTGTAGTGCACAGTGAGATGATGTTCCCTTGATATAATTATGCCTAGGTGCACAGCCCCATATGTCTGATCTGCACACATCTAATGTTTGTCCATGCGATTAAAATCTCCCAGTGCATAACAGCTGCACAAGGACGGGCTTTGCTATATGCATAAGTGGATACAAAAGTGATGTGTACTGTGTGTCTGTTTCAGTGTGTCTCTTTGTATGCGTGAAAGCTGTGGAAGGGTCAGAGTGTGTTTCACCTTCTAATCCAATGTGCATTGTCTTTGATGTGTCAGCTGGCTTGTGCAGAGGTGTGCTGAGAGAGAAAATCGATTAGCCTACCTGAGGGATGTATGTTGCTCTCTTTCTCACTTAATCCACACGTGTTACATTGAACACATGAGCAACGATGAGGACTTTAACCTCACTGGTAGCACCATCCCCTAGTGTTAAATTTCAGTCTAAAAATATATAGCTGAAACATTTTATTTTGATGTGACAACTATATCAGAAGTACAGCTACAGCGAAATGGTTTCCCTCTGCTGATCAGTCTCCTTTTACTTTAACAAATTATTAGAGTAATGGCACTTTGATTGTTCACTGTCACTAACGAAAGCAGAGCAGATCTGCTCTTAATATGATTTCTTTTTTACAGTGCATGGTTTTGTTCAGCACCTGTATTATAGCAATAAATGAATATTTAATATCAAGTCATCCTATATGAATTCGAAATGAGCAAGTTCCCACAAAAAGTGGTGTGTGCTCAAGCTGTAATTGCATTTTATCAAAGTTTTGACCCGCTTGAGCAATATGGAGAATGAATAGTGATGCATTAGTCTTTAAGGGTGATTTTGAAGCTCTAAAAGGTCTTAGTCTCTGTCATTTCCATAATGAAAAGTATTTTTAAAGTGTATTGAAATGGCCATTCGCCCATTTCGATCTGCCACCTCTAGCTCTCACTCATAATAGAACAATATAAAGATGTGAATGTGAAAATAGGCAGTTGCGTAACGCACAGACACACAGCATTCTGCCATTCTAGTGAGAGCACTTTTGAAAAATAAAGAATATAGATAGGACTGTGGCCATAGGGAGAGTTAAAGCACACCAACCTTTTAGAGCCGCAGAGTGCTGAGGACAACCGTGACTGAAATGCAGCAGGCTTATTGTTGGGAACATAATTATACAAGGGCCTTGGATGTTTCTAAGCAAAGAGAGGCAGTGCAACAGAGGCTCTCCTTGAGTTCATTTTGTGTTCAGTGTTATTACACAGATGCAAACAGAGACAAACGTGCTTACACACAATCATGCACTTGCTAACAAATAGAGCCTCAGCTAGTCGTGTCTCTTGGTAGCCTGTATGGCAAACCACCCACAGCCTGCTTTGAGCCACTCTAAACACTGACCAATTAGTGGGTTTAATTGCACGTCCTGGCACAGTAGGCCTTTTGAGACCCCTGCTAAGTAATAAGTAGGGGTACTGACCTGAGTCCCCCTCACACTAACAACAGGATTGTTCTCAGCCTGACCCCAAGGGGCATTTATGTAAGAGACCTTGCATTTTTAGACACCTCCATGTCACTCGGTGTTTGCGGTTTGTGAACTCCACGTCTGCTTGCGCTCTGGCGAATCCCCAGCACCAGACCCTGGGTTAATTGGAAAAGCTTGTATTCTCTGTAAACAGCGTGCTCCGCTCGTTGAGGTCACATTCCCAAACAGCAGAAGTGGGCAGACCCTCCACCCAAGCCGTAAGGCTTCTGCCCGAAAACACTTTGGTCTTCTGTTAAGAGGCTGCAGACATAAATTAAAAGACAATGTTAAAAAAAAAAAAACAGAGAGAAAACGCTGATGGAGAGAATAAGAGAATAGGTCAGCATTTCTTATGGCTGCACAATGAATTTTAATCATCTTCAGGGAATTTTCTTTGCACACTTTATTTTTCCTCTCGTTTCATTCACCTCAAACATTGAATTGATTGGTATCTTTCTACAGTTATCTTGGAGATGGAAGATTTCATCTGGAATCAATCATGATTGCAAACCCAGACATTCCTGCCTACAGGTATTGTCACATATTTCATGTATATCTCTCTTTATATGATACAAAATAGGGTTTATTATAGAACTAGTGTTAGTTTGATCATTTGGGGGCAAATGATGTCAAATAAACTTTTTGTAATAATTGCAATGAAAAAAGAAAAATATTTTTTTAAGTACGGAAGCGATCAACATTCATAATCACCTTTTTGGATCCTCAAATTATGTTCTAGGCTCAGAATCTTATGATGCTTTTTAGTGCTGTTTAAATTTAAAAACTGCTTGCAGTCCTGATTATTCACCTTATCGCAGTGGCATGATAACATTATGTGAAGCTCAAGTTCTGTTTTGATAAGGCTTGCTTGCATGCAAAGTGAAATTGTGTTGTTATAGACATATGCACTGCTGCACAGATCACAGGTCTCTCTCATAAACAAGATTCTAATCTCAAGTGTACCCCTTGTACCAGAGAAAAGGAGATTAGATGCTCAAAAATACATCTATTTTCCCTCAGATACACTAACTCCTGTTGTATTTGATGACTTTTTGTGATTGGATTTTTCACCTTTTTTTCTTCTTCTTCTTCTTTTTTTTGGTGCATTTCTGTCCTTGAGATTGATGCCAGAACAATGGATTGTAATATGTGTAATCAGGTTCATTCTCTCAAAAGTATCGACACGTCCTGTTCACATCTGTGATTTTCAGCCTTTTTCTGCCTGGCTATTCTTGTAGATACGACCCCTACAGTAAGGTGTTCTCCAGGGAATACTACGACCACGAAGCCATGCGCGCTATAAGGCTCCAGGCTATTGACAAGGCTCGACTGGCCCAGAGATGGGGACTGATCTTGGGCACGCTTGGCCGACAGGGCAGCCCTAAAGTCCTGGAGGTGAGTTTGCATCCTCATTTCAACACTCTACATGTCCCGAGGCCACTTGTGCAACGGCTTGTAATATTTCTTAGCGCGAGTTTTTTTGACAAGTGATTTGGTGACATGAAGTAGTAATAAGACAAGAAGTCGTCACACTGGGAGCTTGTTATTTCAAATTTTGGATGATGCAGCCAAACAGCCATAGAAAATCTTATCCTTGATCTCGCTGCTGGCTTCAAGCATGACTGTGTTTGAGTGTTACTAGTGATGTATGATTTTGAGCGTTTTCTGTTATTGCTTCCACAATACAAACATGAAATAAACAACTACAAATAAACATCTCAAAGCATAAAGAACAGTCTATACTTTTCCTTGGTGAAAGCTTTTGCAGCACAGTCCCATCACATTATTTGCATAAATTAACTCTGGAAAATTCAGCCACTTAGAAATGCAGCTCACGTTCTTGTTCAGCAAGCATTTCTAAGCAGTATTCAACTGGTTAATTGTAATAATTCAGTGAAATGTGGGGTATTTTTACACATAAATGATTTTAAATTATCTATCGGTAACTGTTTAATGCTCTCATCACACTTTGTAGGTAAGACAAACCTTGCTTAGAACTATTGGCATGAGAATTCATAAATAGTATAGTAAGTGCACACAGTCAAAGGCTGGTATATTTGGTGCAGACTCTTAAGTGAGAAGCTCAGTCTGTGCAAGTACAAGATATTATGTATTAGCATGCGTGAAGGTCTCTAGTCACTCTTAACTTGCAGCTGGTTCTCCTGTTTTGCCCTCTCTTCAATTGCCAGTTAGTTTTTCTCCTGTTTGTTCCTTTTCCTTTGTTTTGTTTCCCCTTCTTTTCCCTACTGTTTTGAATTTCACTTATTACTAATTAAATCATAATTTAATCAGTAATAATTCAGTGCTGTGTGGATTGCTGTATGAAAAACTGGAGCCTCCATCTAAATGCTAGATGTAAATGGTTTAATACTTCCTCAGCGAGTGTACATCCATAGACTTGACTTGTTCGCAAATATCCAGACTCAAGAGATTATGTTAGCACTGATGTATAAATGTCAACTAGAGTGAAAAGTTTAATCTTTGTGTTGCATTCGGGGGTGGATTTAAAAAAGGGATTTGAATACAAACTCACCAGAGATCTTTTAAGATTAGGAAGTGTAGTGTCAGATAACCTCTCAAGTAAGGGGGCAGAACTATCTGATAAGAGCACAGTGATCTAAATGTTGCAAGATACTCCCAAGGACAGCGGATAACAGTCACATTTTACCTATATCTCATCAAAGAAGGATTTATGGGATATCTTCTGGTTTGTCTGCCATTTGGATTCCCAAGTAACGCCTCAGTCCGCTACCCACAACTAAAAAGACAGAGTGAGAAAAAGAACCAAGTTCCTTGATTTGGCTAAACAGTTTAATTTAATGACTTGTTTTATAAGGTCTGGTGACTGGGCTTGTGCCCATCAGGCCTTATTCACCGACCCTGAGGAATGATAGCCACATGTGAGACCGCTACTCGCCAGTCACACTGTCTTTGTCTCGCTTGTCTGTCAGTTTTCTGTTGTGAAAAATGTCTTTATAATAGTATAATGTTTTATAACTTCTGGCTAGACTGCCCTTTTCCAGAATTGCCAAAGTGAATTTTACCAGATGGGTGTGGGGGACACTGATGATTCAGTTGCTAACTGTGTTGGAAACTTTCCATGCAGAAAAAGCTCAAAACTATTGTGTACAATACCTCACCAAGTAAAGTGTGTTCTGAGTTGTAGCTGGGCTGATTTATTTATTTGTTTTGTTGTTTTAAACTTTTGTTTTGTCAAATCTATGGACAGAATCTTCAGGTGGACTTAAAGAATGGAGAGGAACCAGGCACATTAGAACTGCAGCTTTGCTGGTGATGTAATTGTGTAGGTTTCATCAGACTGTTCAGCACTCGATCTAACAGTTTACTGCCAAGCCTGAAGTGATTGCGAGATTCAACACTTCCATGTCTGACGATATAATACTCTGCCTGAAAACACTGGATTTGGGGATGGTAATTAATTATATTACTAATCAAAGGAGTGGGATCATGTGGTCTTTTTTTTATAGTGACCATAAAATATTAGATTGACAGATGAGTTAGTTAATCCACCACAGGAATGCATACAGTGTACAAAACATTTAAATGAGCCAATCTGAGGCACAAATGCTCAATCTAAATTCCTGCCCTCTCCTACAGCTTTAAGCTCTAGGAGACTGCGAGAATGGGATTTCAGTTGTAAGTGCCCAATAAAGAATTATCTTTACAGTGTGCCTGGACACATGGCAAAAGGATGAAGAGATTGATTGTCTGTATAGAGGCTGGAATAGTACACTAGGTACTTAGCTCTGAACATAGCCAGTTGGTTTGGGGGTCTAATCTGTAAGCTTCCCTGTTGAGGTGTTGAGGCCAGAGCTAATTGGAAAGAGATTGAAGGGAAGAATCACATTATACTGGAGGGGAGTGTAAGATGTTGTTTCCGATGTGTAAATGTGCATTAGCAGAAAAAATAAATAGGCGGAGATGCGATAGTTCAAAGCTTGATGTCCAGATGAAAAAGTCTAGTCAAGCTGAAACTGTGAAAGCGCAAAACCTCTGGAGTGGAGTTTTTGTATCAGCACATGTTAATGCCATGAATCATGTGACCTATACCTTATTATATGTGGCTGAGTTTCACAGCCTATTTTATGTCTAGAAGGCAAAATGTTTTCATTTCTTTTTCTTCCAGCACCTGGAGTCAAAGCTCCAGTCCTTGGGCAAGTCCTTCACTCGAGTGCTTCTCTCGGAGATCTTTCCCAGCAAACTGGCTCTGATACCAGATGTAGATGCGTGAGTATTATAATGCATGCACACAGTTTTTTTTCAAAATGTTATTCATTTGATGGTTTGTTTGACACTGTCACATTTTAAAAGAAATAATTATTTTTTTTGCCCAGACATATTAAAGACATATATATGATCAAGGGAATGCATACCACTCTAGAAACACAGTATGAAAAATAAGCATTCAAGCTTATTCATTGGTATATTGAGTCCCTGAAAATAAGGGAGTCTGTATGAAACGGCCATTAATTTCTCACTGTGGTGTTGTGGGTAAACTTCTCAAATTAAATCTGAAACTCTGCCCTTTAAACCCAAATTCCTGAATATGCGTTGCAACAAATATAAATATGGACTTATTTACACATGCACTAACGCGTGCCCTAATTAAAGCGTTCTTTTATTTTGTTAGAAATGCTGAGCCAAAGCAGATGAAGCAAAATGATTTCTCATATTCTCTTGCACTGTTTTTCATTCTGTTTTGTGCTCTGTTCTTCCTTGTTCGTGTGCTATGCCATACAGCAACATTAAATCCAAAAATTAATTAACCTACACACATCCCTAAAACTCCTCATTTGGCTCTTTGTGTTCTTCATTTGCCAATTCTTTATCACTGCCGTGTCTCTCTGATATAAAGGCTGGGTAATTTATCTTTCACATCAAGGACCCTGCCAGAAATCTAGTGTTCAGCAGCTAGTAGTCACCTAAAATTTGCAATCAACAGCATTTGAAATGTATTCTGTAAGCATCACTGCACACTTAATTGGGTAGTCAGCATAATTTGCAAGTGGGTGCTATAACAGGGAGCTGACAAACAGAGTTTATAGCTTTATACACAAAATTGGTATTCAAGTCCTGGGAAGAGTCCATGATTTTGCATATGGCATAAAAGCAAACAGTCCAATGTAATGAACTTGAACGAGTCATAAAATTTCAGCTTTGGCACAAAGTGCATTGAAAAGGGATCTTTATACACAAATCATACATTGAAGTGCATACTTTCAGTCTGTTTTGCAGTAAAGTTAAAGTAGAAAGTACATCAACCTTGCCCTTGATGAAGATTCAGGGTTTTTTCTTTAGGTTTTACTTCTGTTTATGTAAGAATTTTACTTCTGAAGCAAGAAACCTGAAGCAACTTGATAAAGACATTCTCATTCTCTCATACACTAAGATCTTGACTTTTACATCTTGATATGTGTAGTGGCAGGTCCTGAAATATTCTCTGCTGTGTAGCACTGTAACCCAGTCCAGAAACTTACAGATGTCTTTTAGACATGGACTCCTCACGTTTTATTCAATGAAATATCAAGTACTTGGCTCCAAGGTTCAGTTTGTCTGATTTATCTGACTTCCAACCAGAAGAGCAGAGTTGAAGATGGATAAGGGGTTAGTGAAACACTGATGTGCAGCAGCGCCAATCACATTCGCACAGGCACAGCACTCACACTCCCTCAGATTGGCCTCTCAGTGTGGAGTAATGAGAGGTGTGATGTGTGAGGGAGGAGTGGGTGAGAAAGGGACAGAAGGTCTGAGAGAGAGTTGGGGAGAGAGAGAGAGAGAGATGCAGAGGTAGTTGAGGGGGCTGTGTTTGGAAAGCGAGCGATCACGGTAAAAATATTATTTTTTTATTTGTTTTTTTGGCTCTTGTCTTCAGACTGACGTATGAGTACAACTCAAACATTATGTAATTCAGGCACGATTCACTGAACCAAAACAAACCCTCATTACAGACAAAAAGGTTTCCAGCAAGATCTGTTTCACTAACATTAAAACTAAAGCCCAATCTGCACATGTACCTCAAGTAGGAATTTATTGTATGGTTTTACACCAATTTTTTATCCCATCAGTAAACCCTAGATTTTATTTTCCTTTAATTATAAAAAAAACCTGCTTTAAATAGATGACAAATTCATGTTATTACCCAAAGTGACCATGAAGTTGAATTAGCGCCATACTACATACAGCAGGTCTGGCACTAGAGACAAAACCAGAATATTATTAACCTACAGGGTGATGATTTATTGCTATGCTGTTTTATTGGTTTGTAATAGTTTTATCTAGGTGCACCTAATAAGCAGTCCATGGAGTGTACATACATCAGAAAATAGTGCAGGAGTAGTCTGCCTTTGTACTATTGAAGACTAGGGCTGTTTATCATTTCAGAGTGCTGGAGCCAACACAAAACCTGAGTTTCTGTGCTGGTCAAAAAAGGTATCCGAGAATCTTGTCTTGAAAAAAAGTTCATGTTTGGTTAAATAGTTCAAGTTACTATTGGGCCGGTCGTTATGGGCTATTCCTTCCCTGTACACCCTGTCACATCAGCATGGTTTGCTGACATTTATTCACCAATAATAAGTCAGACTCATTTCTGGTAGAAGCTGGAGTTCACCCGGTTGGTAGTCGTGGAGGGTTTTAGGCTTGATGGTTTCCATGGGCCGGGGATTGGACCGCTGTACTAGGAGGCTTTTTATGCATTTCAGCAAGTGCAAAAGAACAAAAACAGGACTGATGCCCGATTGTAGGCTATTTAGACCCATTTCCTTCATTTTTAATAATGTGGCTTTGTCTGTAATCATAAAATAGTTCCTTAACAAGCCTAAAAAATTTGACATTTGAAGATGACTTGCTACCAACATTGTCCATATTACTGGTGATAAATATTTATTGGGGGTGACAACTTTAAGTAGAATTCTTCTGATGATAATTTGTTCACCTCTAGTATTTTTTCACCTCGCTCCTCCAAATAGTTTGTGAGACAATTATAGACAATACAATTCACCAAGTGTTTGAAGCTGTGTCAAATCTGCTTGTGTTAAGAGAGGCATTAAAGAGAGAGACAAAGCGAGGGAAATTGAAAGATAGATGGTGAGGCGGTAAAAGACTCACTCCTGCTCAGCACTAACCAACATAGCACACTGTACAGATCCCACCCTCAGGCTTTCTTTGTCATTAGACACACACATACTCACTCATATAAAGTGAGAGGCACCATTAACATATGCTCTTAAGAGTGTAATTAGGCTGTCCCCAAGCAGGTTTTAAACTGTTGTGCAGACATCTGCACAGCACACACACACACTTATCTCAGCCAGACAGCAAATGCCATCCGCTACATTTCAGCCTTTTATCTCTGTTCGAATATTTTTGGGGTCTGGGAGGGGGGCTCCTCAAAAAAGAAATTGTTTATTTTAATTCAATTAGCTAGTTTGCAATCAAAGGCGAAGAAATTGTTCTCTCCTTGGAGTTCTGAAAGGTTAATTGTTCTTGCTCTTGGCAGGTCAAGTTTGTGAGTGTAATTGAAGCAGAGCCCCACAGGTAGAGGGAGGCTGAGGTGTAATGGGCCACAGTGGGTAATGCAGTGAACTCAGGCTGGAGCTCACATAGCATATCCAGATTTAAATGTCAGGCAGTTTTACCTTTATACATCACTTGTATGCTGCTCCTCTAAACCTTATATGTTGTGTTGTGATGAAAGCATCACGTTTTTCAGACAGATCATTTTGAGAGAGGCTGACTAAACAACTGTCCACAAAAGTCTGTGTGGTATGAAAGACTCAAAGCACTTTCCTCCTGGAAAGTAATTTCCCGGTGACTTTTAGGCACCAACAACTGGGTGTGTTCCTCTTCCGTGAGGGTGTCATGACTAACTCGATAAAGCCTATGCTTAATCAATACAAAATGCGGGTAGGTCAGCGCTGCTTCAGGGTGCCCCATGTAATCATCAGTTTTTATCACTTGGTCAAAGACATTACACTCTGCTAAAGGCCTTAAACGCATCCTCACACGCTATGCCAAAAGGTTATTAAACCCCGGGTCAACCTGTCCCCAGAATTAAGGGATGCAGGGAACAGTCGCGAGCTAACTCCAGCCTTTACTCTGTGTTTTGCCCTGCTATTTTATTTGAAGTGGCTCTATGGCATATTTGTGCATGTCCCCATGCAAACACCTAACCTCCACCCACTTTGCCTCCAGCAAAGCCCTGGGCCAAACTAGGGTTTGGTTGACCAGGTTCTGTATGTAGCCTCAGTCCACCATAGCCTGGCCGAGGGAGTGTGTTGGAGGGCCGGCGACACGGAACACTTCCAGCAGTCCTTCCCTGATCCTCATGCAGCTCCCGGTGAGTGAGGTGTGCCGTCTTTAGCCGGTGGGACCTGCAAAGAGACAGACAGGTGTGAAGGGTAGATGATGCTGGTGGCGGGCCTCGATGGTGATTCATTCCACAGCTGCCTCCATGGAGCCGGGACCAGCCAACTACTCACTGCTGGTTGCAGCTGCCCCACCAATCCTCTCAGCTGCCCAGACAGGTGGGCCTCCACATGCGTCACCGCACCAGGCCGACTGGTCGGTGGTAGTGGACCCACTCTGCTGTGTCCACTGAGGGCCTCTTCATGAAATGCTTGAGCATGATCATATCCAGCAGCGATGCCTCTCCTTTGGTTGAGCCAAGCTGCAGCCACCTGGCGAGGGCAGATCTGCTAGCCTCATCAGGTCTCCCTGAAAATGGCAGCAATGGCTTCCGGTGCGAGCTCCAGCCAATCCAGTATCGTCTGGCGAACACACTGGAAGCTGACCTTCACCGTTGTGGGGAGGCTCAGCGCTGCCACATGTACCTTGCTGGCCACTGTGGTACCAGATCCTCCAACACTCTGGTCCAGTGCTCAGCCAGGTGCTGCAACTGGTCAAACTGTTTCCAGTGCACCGTCGCCTGCTCCATATGCATGGTAGCTAGCTTCACCACCATATGGGCCAGCCCCTCCAATGGCTGCGCCAGACGCTGGTCCATCATCCTTCACCGGACTGGGTTTTTGCCCCATTGTGGCATGAGGTACCCAAGCCACACAGCATGGGTGCTTTTATTTGCCATATTTCCTTTTCTTGCACAACCTTCGCGCTGCCTTGTCCCCTTACAGCACACAGCTCTCTTGTCAGGTCCCTGCATCCTACTAAAATAGGGAAGGCATGACCAGGTGATGGAAAACAGCGTTGTAGGTCTGCCTCCCCTGACACCACACCTTAAACCCACTGCTCCACCCCTCCCGTGCAGCTGAGCTACAAACCACACCCCGCCCACAGTCTGTTCCACTGTTTGTTTGTTTTTGTTTTTTTCTTGGTTTGCGAGCAAATTGTGAAACAAGGCTCAAATGAGACAACAGCCCACCTCTTCCAGTGTCTGTGTACCTCTCCTGTTTTTTAAAGTCTTTGTGTTTTACTGTACGTCATGATGATACCAGTTCTCTTCCACACTTGCTAAAATGATTTCAAAGATAGTGGCTACAAATACTGTTTCCACTGCTTCTAAGGAACAATACAGTGGCACTATGCACCTTATCACACTGCAACATTCAGAAAATCTCATTGCTAACACTTTTAAGTCCCGCCTCAGTTCATGTGCCAATCAGCTATCTTCGCCCTATGAAGGACGAATCCTTTCTTCCTTCCCTTTTCATGCTTTTTGTCTTGCTTCCCTCTCTACTCTCAGAGTTAGCCCTGAGGATTTACTCTTTGCTTATTAATCACCCTCCCTCTTTTTTATCACTTCCAGTGTTCTTTTTTTAATCTTGCACTGCAAATTTGCATATTCAAAAACATGTTACATATAAAAACACACATATACAAACTGTTGGTTTTTCTCCTATATTTAGCCCTTTTCCCCACTGTTTTCCTGCACTAAGGCTGCTTTGATGCACGTGCAGTGTTTGTCTGTTTAGAGGCTCTGGTTATGAATAGCGGCTGATAGACCTAAAGGTAACATTTCAGATTCCAATCTCCATCTAAACTTGGCCAACTTAGGACTGAGGAGATTGGTACTTGGTTGAAATGTCTCTTACTCAGCTGGCTCTCAAATTAGGAGGATGAATCAGAATTCACTCTTTGGGGGGAGCCTTTTTTTTCCTTCTTTTTTTTTTAAGTGTTAGTTGAAAATGAGAAAATGCCATGCATTTGCCCAGAGGGGGTGGAATATTTCTGTGACAGAAAGCAGAGTGGAGTGAGCGTCAGCGGTGCAATCAATTCTGCAGCTGAGAAACTGTGTGAAAGTTGGAAAATGAGGGAAAGACAGAAAGGAAATTTGACGCAGTACCATATATTTGAAAGTAGTCAAGTACTCACAAACTAAATCTCAAACTGGTGTGTCCTTATTGACGTTTACCTAGAATTAGTCTTTATATACACTGCAGTTCATTTTGTATTTATCAATCATTCCGATGGATCTTCATCATAAGGATTAGGGACAGGGAATGTTATGCTTCCTCAGTAGAGACGGAGCTGTGAATAGCATTGATCTGTGAAAGCTAACCCTCCGTAGCCTCAGCCACTTTCCGTCTCCATTTTCCCATTGTTCAGTTTTCCCTGCAGCTGTTTACTTCCACACACCCTCCTCATCCTACTCCCATGCATTTTCCAGAGTAAACACGTTCCTCCCTGCCTGTCTTCTTCCTCTCTTCTGCCTCACTTCTGTCTTCTCTTCTTGCCTGCGCCTCTTCAACCCCCCCTCCGGTTTTTCATCTTCATTGCTCATTCTCCCTATCGCTCTGTATCTGTGTCCTTCTCTCTCTTTTTTTTCCCACCCCCCTCCCCATCTCTTTAATACACAGCCGCTTCACCACTAAACCTACGCCCACCCCACCCCATCCCTCCGCCACCCTGTCTGCGAGCAATGTAGGCTACCTCCGTGGAGACCGGCTGGTGCGGCTTTTTTATTCACACTCACCTAACCTCTTCGTCTTTTCTTTCACAGCATTTCTTTTTACCCCTGTTTGCATCTTTTGCTGTATTTTTTTTTCTTCCTCTCTGTTTTTCCCTCTTGCAACCAGTCGGCACCACTAGACCATATGAAACCTTCATCCCTGTCTTTTCAGCCTCCCTCTGACTATGCATTCAGATGGTGTAGCATGGCTGTCTTTAGAACTGTTGCAAATCAGGACAGATCTCTCCAACAGATGCTGGAGGTCAGGTGGAGGGAGTCTCCTCGCACTAACCCACTGCATCACGTACCCACATGCAGTGTGCAGTTGTAGATGTGCTCTGCCTGTCTAATAGGATCTTAGTCTCTCAACGTTATTGCTTAACTGTTACACTCGCATTTGCACTGATTCTAAGCTGTACGTTTGAGCTAAAATTTGCACCCACTCCTTACAGGTGGGTTCAGATCGCTTGTCCACGCCTTTCTATCGACTGGGGCACTGCCTTCTCCAAACCCCTTCTCTCTCCATATGAGGTAAGCATCAACCTTACAGCTTCTCAACAAGCCGCTAATCGTTTTTCATACAAGTGTCACACATTTCACACACACAGACCTTCCTGTCTGCACATAACTTGACTGATGTCGTGTTGAAGCCTTCATCAAAGTGCAGAAGGAGAAAGTTACATTGTTAAGTGATTTTTCAAGTTGTATAAGACTCATCAAGGCCTTGCTTGTGCTGGAGATGAAGAATTATGTCTAGTTCTTCCTCCCTCTTCCTCTCCCTGCCATAAAGCACACCAGCACACACATATAAAACACCATCAGTAGCAGACTAGCCCCCCCTGCTGGCTGCAGAACAATATAGACACTCCCCACCCCTTTCAGCTTGTTTTTCTAAAGGGAGAGAAATGGATCGGACAGCATCCCATAAAGATCCATTTCAAAGCATGTGTTTGTTTGTCTGCAGCTGTTGTAGCAAAAAAAAGCAGGCTTGTTTTGTGATGAGCTTGGCAGTTATGTCACATTATGCTTTTATGTGACCTCACTGGTTAGCACTTGAAGTCAACTATTAATTCGTTCAACAAATTTTTTTTTCCTCAGATGTATGCCACTGATTTGAATACTGAAATGGCTGCAAGGGGAATTGCTGTCTTGAATATTGGATTGTGATTTGAAATGGTTGCTGTTATGTTCAGACTACACATCTTTGTGCGCCGCACACAACGTGAAAGCACTTACATTTCAGAACGGGGCCATTAAGAATAATGATAGCATTCACCTTAGAAGAAGAAGCAATGGTTATTTTGCATTGTTTTTGACTGAGGTCTATAACGGCGCGTGCGAAGACGGAAATTCGCCCTGCTGTAATGAGGAAAGCAGCAATCTGTTTTCTTAAGCCCTTTGTGCTACAGTTTGCTTTGCTCTCCCCGCCAGCTATTTGGGAACGATGTTTGTGCATTTAAATAATTTGGTGCTGCGCTTGTGATAAGTCTTAATTCACCCACATCTCATACCTATGAGTGTTACACGTCTCGGTGCGCTATGCTTTTCACTGTGGCATTTAGGAGGAAGATGAAGAGGAACGAGATGGGAGGGTGAAGTGAGCAAGGAGATTTATTTTCAGTGCGTCTCATGTTATATTTATAGTCAATAAGACACACTTGGCTCTCCTGTCAGAGCAGGGATTAGCAAGAGAAGCTAGCTTCCACAGAGAGAGGCAGTTGGTGTGAGAGGGGAGAGAACGAGAGCAGTGGGGAAAAGTGAGAGACTGATTGAATAAGGGGTAGACGAGAGGAGGAGACTCTGGTAGAAGGCTGCCTGGAGAAAGGAAGGGATGGTTATTCTGTAGTATTTTTATTTTCTGATAGATTGTGTTTTAAAATCTGGATATGAAGAAAGTTATTTTGCCTGAAAAACATATGTTTACGAGATTTTTTTATTACAACAGGTTATCATAACTGGGATGCAATTATATCTTAAAAGAGAAAGAAGCTTTATTAAGTTTGCAGTACTTTCTTTTAAAGAAAAACTGTTTTTACTTCTCGTTTTATTCAGGAAACGTCAACCTTTGCGTAAGAGAACAGAACACTGTCTTGTCGGTTTGGGTGCGCGCTATACTAACGAACGACAGTCACAAGCTGCGCAACAGTGATGAATTATGTCGCACTAGAAGAAAGATTTCATCACTTTGAAGCTGAATTTTTCATGTCTCCTTTGAACTAAATTCTCTAACGGGTGTATTTGGAGTTTTATAAAAATTCTATGACTTGTTTTCTCATCATAATTCCATACATCATCGGAATTATTCCAAATAGTTCAAAGCTGAAGTTAGGTCTTGGCATCTAAACAGCTTGAAAGATGAACGAGTGCTCGGATAAATGAATAAATGAACAGTCAAATGATTTGTTCTTTCATTCAGAACGCTTGTTATGTATGCTTTTTCTTTCGTTTGGAATCAGTATTCACAGGCATTTCTCTTCCATATGGAGCAGCCTTCACTTAAGTCACAGCTCTGTCATGCCACTGTTGTTGTTCCTCTCTAACAGCTGTTGTAGCGTTCAGTGCAGCTGCATAGGGATAACATGACAACTCTGCGTGTTATCCAAGCTTATTATTATGACACCTGTCTTGTCGGTATAGTCAGTCTGTTGTGTCTTCTCATCACTCTTTGGTTTCCTGCCGCTTGTTTGTCCAAAACGCTGAAAACTGCAGATACAGTACTAGGTGACAGTGAAAATCAGCGGAATCATGTACCATAACACCTTGGAGGGTGCCATTATTGCACCTTTTGCTCATCGTTTCTTGTCCTTTTTTGATTTGGTTCTGATTTGTCACTGTCTCGCCATCTGTATTTCTTGGTATCTTTTAGGCAGCTGTTGCTTTACAAGAGGTAGGCTGGAAGGAAGTCTACCCCATGGACTTCTACTCCAATCAGAGCCTGGGTCCGTGGGGACCTAACCACCCTGACAACCAACCTGTGCGGCCTGCTCGTAGACAGACCCAGGTGAATAGAGCTGGGAGATAAAAAAAAAAGAATGAGTGACTGGAAGTGATTACACACTGTTCAACTCATGCTTGATGGTCTTTATCAGAATGTCACCACACTGACACCCAGTGGCACAGTGACAACAGGACATGTATCTCAACATCTCTTTGTAAGGCGTGGCTATGACCTTGACCTTGATGTTCCTTTTACTTATTAAAAATGAAGAAGGGTGCATAGATATTGATTGAGTTACTGCTCTGCGGATACATCATACAGTAGCTGTATTTCCAAGTATTATCATTTGTATGTCTGAGGTAGGTACTGTCACTGCTCCAAGTGTTAATGCTATCCCTCTGCCTGCCTGCAGAAAAAAGGCTCGGAGCCAGCCATTCCTGCCAAGCACTGTGAGCGGAACCAGTGCGCCCCCTGTGGCTGCCAAGGGGAATGACACGCTAACAAGCAGAGAGGGGTCAGACCAAAAGAGGAACAACTGGAATTTGAGTCAGTCTAACTTCAGAGGAGTTTTCAGCTTCTTTTTCAAATAGATTTTCTGCCGATATGTGAGCAGTTGAGATGCGACCTGACCCTGTTTTGCTTTCTTCTTTTTGTGGTGAAATTGTGAAAACAGTAAATCAGAAATGAAACCTTTCTTGTTGGGAGCAGGTTTTTTTTCCCCTAAATGCAGTGCTGTTCTGAAGCTATGAGCCTGTTTTTAAAGCTGAGTGGTATGAGTTCCTAGATGCGTGCAGAGCTAGTCACGACTGCTCTCCGTTCTCATTATTTATTGATGGTGGAGTCTGTCAATAAATAAATAAATAATCCTCCTATTGCTGTTTGGCCGTTACAGTAAAAACTGATTGACAGAAGCCTACCGTGGCCTCAGCTGATCCCAAGAACCCTCCCCAGGTGGCAGCACAGTGTGACAGGTGATCTTTGGAGAGTTTTAATTCTAAACAACTACCCAACTTCTCCAATCACATCCTCCCTCTGCTTTCCACCTTTGTATCACTTCAGCAGCAAATGGCAGTGAGATAGAGCGATACTGCCAGACATATCCGGGATGCGTCACGTGTCCCGCTAGCAGCTACATTTTTTTAAGAGCTCAGTATTTGCCACAGTACCATGTGTGATGCATAGCAGTCGGGAATAAATTATTGGCCAGCAGAGCTCTCTTTCAGCTGATGTTTGATTTATATTCTAGTTTGTTCTTTCACAGGCAAAAAGGAAGAATGTTAATAATCTGCCCTTTCCTCTTCTCATAACCCTTCAGGTTTGTTATCCAAGTCTAAAGATTTGTCATGATTTAAATCAAAAATGATTTACTGATTACAACATAAATAAAAGCTTTTTTTTGATTGTTTAAAAGACAGATCATATACATTGAACTTTATGGTTTTAAATTTAACCATAATAGAAACAAGAGCTAGAAAAAAATTAGATTTTAATATTTAATATCCAGCCATTTACTTTCTGCTGCTTATCTGATTTAGGGTCACAAAGGTGATGTAGCCACTCACAGCTAAGGCGAGAGGCGGTGTACCGCCTTGACAGGTTGTCAGTCTGTCTACTGCATGATAACACAGACAACCACTCAACATTCACACACACGGCAGGTTTCGAATTGCTGATTAGCCTAACATGCATGTATCTGGACTGTGAAGGGGTATCAAGAGAGAAGCCCAGTATGGGGACAACATGCAAACTGCACATAGAAAAGACCCAGGTGCTTCTTGTTGTGGGGCAAGAGTGCTAACCATTCCACCACCACCATGCCTCCCTTATATTTAAATACAAAATTGTTAAACTAGATCATTATTACTTTCTTAATCAAGTAAACTTAAAAAATTATGAGGAAATCAAATACTGACTGCTGAAATCTCCACACAGTGAGTCCTTCAGGTTTCAAGTGTGACATGACAATAATCAGACTTGTGATCTAAACTTCATCAAAGATGAGGGCAGTTAGTGAAACAGGACAAAAACTGCAATCTCCAGGTTCACAGGTTTTATAACGCCGCCTCACCTCCCTGCTTATAGACCCCTTAAAAAAAGGTATGTGAAGAATCTGTTGGAATTTAGAGTAAGAAATGAAATATTTTTATATTATAGTATATATAGTTTTATAAAACAACAGTTTCCACACAGGGAGTAGTTATCTAGATAAAGTTCATATATAGCTAACAAAATCATTTTTAATCAGCGAGTGAAGGTTATTGTTTGATTATTTAACTGTAACAAACAAACTATCAGTTTACAGGTTTGTAAATGATGGTCATTAGGAAATGTTGCCAAAAGGCACCAGCCATTTTTGTAGTTTTTTTGTGAGGATAAACTTAAATCATCAATAATAACTTTTTTTCTGATGCATTTAAATCCTCACTGAGTAACAAATTACATTTACAGCTTCTACATGAAATACGCTGTATCAATACTATGGTAATGATAATAATATCACCTTTATGCCCATCACTGTATATTTACATAAGAACTTAACATGCTAAATATATCATTTGAAATTTGACACTTTCTAGTTTGATTTTTAAGCACCTTATACTTCATTTTGCTTTTGCTTCATTTTCCCTCATGAAGACTTACCGATTTTTTTTATTATTTTTTTTAATGTTCAAAGCTGATGCTCAGTTTTATACGTAAAAGGTCCAAATAACTAGGAGAAATTCATTACCCTGGGATAAGTCCCCATGTGTTTCTTGTGTTAACGGAAATCAAATACTTAAAAGTGAATTTATGAGTATTTGGATGCAAGATTACAGTTCACAAAACCAAATGAAAACTAGATGTGAAAAAATGTAGTAAAACCAAAGCTTTATAAAAATCCCAAAATGGAAAGTATATTTGTATAAGAAATGCTAAAAACATCATTTTCTAACAGTTTGGTTGAATTTGTCAACACAAAAATAAAGAGGAATTTTAACCCTCTTATGTGTTGTTCCTTTATAATAAAAAATAAGCTAAAGCTAAACATTTTAACAATAACAACCATATATGAAAGAAGCAAATGCGCTCTATAAACTAACCAGTCTGAAAAGAGAAGCTGAAATGATGAAAAACACAAACCTGTTACAACACAAACCTGTTACAACCCCAATGTGTGAAAATGTGTAAAATGTAAATAAAAACAGAATGTAATGATTAGCACATCTCGTAAATCCATATTTTATTTACAATAGAACATGGCAAAAAAAAAAAAAAGTTAACTGACACAAATTCAAAGAATCCGGAGAAATCTCTGTGCGAAAAGGTCAAGCCAGAAAATCAGCCCTTGAATGGCTGTGATTTGGAGGGCAATGAAGTTGTACTGTGTTAAAAACCCTGTATTGTGTTTTGGAAATCACTGCATGAGCTGTGAATGGTACAGCACATAGTAGTGATGATACTGTAATGTTACGGTGTGGATGGTATAGCACACTCTGTGAACAGAATTTGGAACACAATCCACAAATATGAAGGTGATCCAGAAATACTGCCATCTTCTGTGGACCAAGGCTAATTTTAAATGGACTGAGACAAAGTGGAAAACTGTTCTATGGTCAGACTATTATTTTGAAATCAGACCAATCAAATTTCAAATTGAAATGCGAAACTCTTGTTATCAGCTCCCAGTCTCAGCAGCTGGAATCCTATATTACAAGAATAGAACAGCATTTCCTGTCCAAAAGCCTGCAGCTGGTTTCTTCAGTTTACAGGCTTTTACAAACTGTTGTTAAAAGACGAGGCAAAGCTTCACTGTGGTAAGAACACAGGCCTGTGCCAGCTGTTTCGAAAAGTGTCAAAAACGATTTAATACTTTTCTTAAAGTTCTACATTTTCTCAGTATAAATATTTTACATGTTTTATGTGTTTTTTGTGGATAAAATGTGGGTTTATGAGATTCCCAATCATTGCATTCTGGTTTTATTTACATTTTAAACATCATGCCAACATTTTCAGAGTTGGGATTGTATTATTCTAGTTGGCTGTAACTGTTTCAAAACATATTGTGATAGCTTAATTTGTGCACATAGCTGCAAGGCTGTGGGGGAGGTAGACCTGAAAGTCAATGAGCTTCTCATCCACAGCTCTGCCAGCTTCTCCCAGTCTGACCTGTTACCTCAAGTACATTCTCTTCCATGCCAAAAGCTGAGTGACCACACAGGGGCACTGTTTGCACAGCTTATTTGCATTAAGCCATTCAAGTCACTTTTCACTTTTCATTCTAGAAGCTTTACACTGCATGATCACACGTGATTACGTGTACTTGGTTGAGTGCAAGTACCCAGTGTGCCTTTGGTTGCTGGTGTGTGCAATTATTTTCCAGACGTGGTGGGAATTTGACTCCACACTCCTTCATCCTGCTTGGCATCCCTTCTGCCCTGAGTGTGCTTGCCATCGCACTTTGTTTTGTGTCAACATCGAGTGTCTGGTCCCACGGAGAATTTATGACGTATTTATTATGGGTCTTATGACTACACAGGCCACACGATTTAGTTATCCTGGACAACAGGTGCTCAGGTCACGTACCATGCGCAGTGATACTGATGTAACCTGACTGGATGGTTAGCTGGTTGCCATTGGTGCCCAGCATTTGTTTGTGTAGCCCTCAGTGATGCGACTCAAAAGTCATCGGTTAATGCATTCTCGACAACCACTCATCATTCAGAAGCCGAAGACTGATTGAAAACACATTTTTAGTAACTCTGAACTGTCTACCTGGGTTAATGTTTTGGGGATTTTTTTTTTCTCTCTATGTGAAAGCAGAGAAAAACATGTCAGCACCTGTGATGTATTTAGTCATTGTTTCTCTTATCTAGGGAAAGGCTGAGTCACAGATGGCTCATCCGACCTTTATTTTCACCAGCCCCAACACCTTAATGCGTTTTAGGCAACTCACAGAGTAAACTCATCTTTCGTGTTTTTCATATCGCTTATTTGTTTCTTCTTATTTCTGTCCAAAAAGGAAATCAGGTGTAAGTGGGGGAGGGGGTAGAGGCTTATGGCGTATGGTACCACAACAAAAATAAAAATGAAGAGGAGTAGATTTGCTTTGCAAGTTTGATTTTGTGTGTTCTTTTTTTTATATATATATACCAGTTTGTCTTTGATGTACAGTTTAACACATACTGCATGTTATTAGAGGGTGGGCAGGGGGAGGTGGGGCAGTAGAGGGCATGTATATAAAATCCAGATGAAGTTCGTGTTCCAGTGTTTGCTCCTGTGTCTCTGTTGGTTTTTTTTCCTGTTTCTCTCTCTCACTTTTCTCCTTCTACCATTTATTGGATTACATTAGAACAGAAAATAAATGATTTTGTTTACATTGCCTGTATTTACTTCTGTCAGGACACCGTAGGTGGGCGAAAAACTGTTTATAAAGGCATGAAGGTGAAAAAACTGTGTTTGGAAGATTGAGACTGCCGATTTCTCGTTGTTTGCTGTGTAATAATATACGTGTGGTGAGATGATGCACGTGCGATTTCCATTTCAGAAGAATGGCCCTCGGAAGAAGAGCTGCATGCTGTCACTGTGCAAGATGTTTCTGCATAATCTGGACATTTCTGGGATCATTTTCTTGTGTAAACCAAAACGCAGCAAGGCTTGTCGTTTCCCATTTCTGGATTTTGCTAAGAAGCATCAAATCTGTAATACAATGAGGAAAGCAAATCCCTCAGAACAAAGGTTACTGCTCTATTGAGGACAGAATTATAAAAGCGAACAGCTAAATTTGTCAAAACAGCTTATTATGTAAAGTTTCAAATGCTGTAATTCTGAGTGTTTCTTTGAATTAGTTTGATTAAAATGGTTTCAAAAAACAATTGAGCTCTTCTTCAATCTATTTGATCACGTCTTGATTAAATCACCCTTCAGCATCCCTGGGGAAATTTGAACAATAAAGCTGACTCGTGTGTGGGGGAGACAAGAAGGCTGTGCAGCAATGTGAAGAAAGGTTGCTAGAAGGTTGAATAAGAGTCTTTTGTGGGAGAAATAAAAAAGTGGTGTAAAGTGATGACTAATTCTGTGTGGGAGGTCAGCCTGTCCCTGATCATCCGGCCAAGCACCACCCATGCACAGGGCTGTCACAAAGTCACCTTCTTCCTCAACACGTCCACGTCCTGCACTCTATTCTGAGTGTTTTCTTGTTCTCATTTCGTTCAGTCCTTTCTTATTCATTTTAGTGAGGGAAACCTGTTGAACAAATGAGGTACCAATTGTTACTGTTTTCTTCTTTTTTTGTTGATTTTTTTCAGGCCTTTTATAGCCATGCTATTCCTATTAAAAACCTCCAAACACTTTTTGGCTTTTTGTGAAAACATTATTCATAATGGTTTATCAAGATTTTGATCATCCGGGAGCAGCAACACCCATTTTATCTACAGTTCAGTCTAAATACATGTTAATCTGGTCTCGGTATTTCTCCCAAAACCAAAGTGAAAAATCATTTACATAATAAATCTTCTTATTAACACTCTTTATGTTGCTAATGTACCAGTCTCTAATGATTACTTTCTTGATGTTTCTGAATCTGCATACTCACACTCTCTATACGGTTAGGTTTAACAGGACTGCTCTTTTGGAGGTCATTGTCTATAAGCTGGAATAATCAATAAGCTGTAGGAAAATGAAGTTCTTTCAATCACAGAGGAAATGAGTCAGTTTAAATTGGTGGATCATCCAGTAGCTCGCCCCAAACGTACGTCATGTAATTTTATCAGTATCTGTTAGTTAATAATATAACATATGGATGTGAATATTAATAAAACGCCCTGAACATTATTGAGTCTTTTTTATACACTTCAGCCATCTGCCTTGTGCCATTCATGAGCTAATGATGCTTTCTTAGCGAAAGCTATGATTGTTATAATTATTGGTGGGATGTCATTTACATCTGATTATAAGTTAATCAACGGGAAATCCATTAAGGCAGTGGTAAGCATGCAGATTCAGAACCAAAAGCAGACTGAGTGCAGCTGGTTCATCTTGGAAAATCACTACCACAGTGTCTAGGAGTAGACTCTTAAGAACTTTTTTTGGTTTTGATAGCATGCAGTAGTTATTAAGTTTTTCTCACATGTTTCTTTCTTTGTAGCTGTGGTAGCTACTGGAAATAAGAATAATACATTTCATATTTGAATTAACACTTGAAATCGAAACATACAAAGAAGCATTTGTAACTCTTGTCATGACAAAAGTTCTTATCTTGGCATTTTCAGTAGAGCCAGTAAATGTATAAATACATAATTTAACGTCACTGTTATTTTTCTGCTAATCTATTATGAATTTACATAAATGATTTGTTAGTAGTTTTGACAAATTAAAGATAACACTGCATATAAGTACAAAAGTGCTTTATTAAGATTTTCTTTTATAAAAATGTCTAAATCACTTATTGGTTTCTCTAACAATGATTTGGAGAACAGCTAATGGATTCAATAGACTTCTATTTAAAATATTTTTAATTACTTTTACCTTTAAAATATATGCACATCAGTAAGATTGAGGTCTGGACTTTGACTGCATCATTGCAACACCTTGATTCTTTTTGTTTTCAGTCATTATATTTCTGATTTGCTGCTGTGCTCGGAGTCATTGTCCTCTTGCATGACTCATTTCCAACTCAGCTGTAGCTATTGGACAGATGCCCTCACATTTGTCTCTTTGGTATACAGAGGACTTTGCGGTCGGCTCAATGGCTGCAAGGTGCCCAGGTCCTGTGGCTGCAAAACAAATCCAAATCATCACCTAACAGCAGATGCTGCCTCCTATGTAGCAACCCTTTTAAATAAGTCATAATTGTTCTGTTCTTATTGTATTGTCAAGATCTTTAGCTGTTTAACATGCTAACTGACACCTGTAGATTCTTAAATTCAACTCAGTCACTTTACTTGGACACACACTTTTGGCAAGATTAAGAATGTTAACACACACCCACACAGTTTCAACCTGTCTTTGTTCGCGCTGCACCTCTTAGTCATCGATGCAGATGTGAGATAGAAAAGTCTCTGAATGGTTACTAAGACTGGCAAAGCCACGAATGACTAATAACTGATAAATGAAAAATGGAGCATAGTCTGCAAGCTAGTTCAGGAAGGCGTCTCGAGCAGCAATGCGACATAACTCACTCACTTCATGTCACACCATAAGTTACCAAACACATCCCCCCAGTCTGGTAGTATATTTAAACTGTAAAATGTCTTTTCTTTAACCCTGACATGTCAGCGTCACTGCTGCCTGGTGTTCCAACCACTCCAGCATCCACCTGCAGACTCCATATGGATCTTTACTCATCTCTGGCAGTTTCTCTGTATTATATTTGCACAGCATTCTGATTTGAAGCCCACACGCCAAAATCAAACTGCATTCTGATACTTTAAGTGATCCTTTTGAATGTGATTTCTCTGGGTGGAATAAATTAATAGTTACTGTTTATCTAATTTTGCACTTTTTTGTGCCCTTATATAAAGTTAGTAAAGGTCCAAAATATATCACTATAAGCTACAAATAAGGCCAGTGGAAAATTCACTTCACTTCATTTCAAAGACTATAACATTTTATTTTCCAAGACTGTAAGAGAGTTGTGTTTGTTTAAAAAAAGAAAGAGAGAGACAGAAGCTAGCTGAGCCATATTTATGATATTTTCTGAATGTGGAGATATCTTTTCAACTGTATACCTTTTTTATCCTTTCTAGCTGTCAGATTCAGAAAATATCATGCATATCGTTCAGCCAGTTTCCTGAACACGTTCTGTTACTTGGAATCCTAGCTCTAAAAGAAACATGTTTTACCTTGAGACTACCTTGTGGAACAGAAGATTACCATGAAATTATGAAGCCACTTGAGAGCAATTCACCGAATGACGCTTATTTATGGAGTCCTACATCACATCATTCACTTTATTCATTTCCTCTCATTTGTTTTGGCACCAAGGACACAGCATGATTTAGAGTCTTCTTTTGAACCCTTTACAATCACCCTCTTCTAATTTTAAATTGCCAAAAATGCTGCAAAGCATGAAAGAAATATTCAGATCTTTACCAAGACTCAGATCAGGAAATTAGCCCAGTAACGGTAATCAATCAGATTTTAATATCTCCACATTACTACATCTGCAGATATTAAAATCTGATTGATTACTATTACTGTGCTAATTTCCTGATCTGAGTCTTGGTCTCTGAACAGTAAATTTTTGTGATGATGAAAAAGAAAACAGCATTTGTTGATCTACAGTGCAGAGACAATAGACAAAAATCACATTTTAAATAAAAAAAAACAGTGGATGGTGATTGCATTCTCTTATCTGATTGATTTGACTAAATTTTTAAACTGATTTATCCAGCCTGTGTCCTTCCCCAAAGGACCAAATTTATGTTAAGCCAAAAGTCACCCCTGTGTGGTTAAATTTGAGCTCTGACTTGATTATTAAAAAGCAGCTCCAATCATTAAAAACACAAAGTGGCGTGTGCTCATGTTTAAATAATTTATTAATAAGAAGCCATACTTTACAGTGGTAAGATTCATACATGCAGCTCAAGAGTATCTATCTATCTATCTATCTATCTATCTATCTATCTATCTATCTAAAAAATATCTTCTTATTACTGTGATTAATAAGTTCCTTGTTGTTTCTTAGATGTATGATGTGTCTAATGTGTCTTTCATAAACTTCCTCATGTGAACCACTCTGGTTCAGATGTATGTTTTGCCCCCTAGCGACCATGGCTGTAGACTGTTACCACTGGTGCTGTTACTACAGTAACAATCTAATGCCACGGTCACCATGGAGACAGCAGGAGAAATATGATTGGCTGTGGTAACCACTGACGTCCTCTGTGGTTTTATGATGTTGGTGATGCAGCCTTCAGTAGTGCTGGGCTCCGACAGGAAACTTCATACAGTATAGCAGCATCTTCCCACTCAGCTTAATTCTTACAGTCACAAAGGTGAAATTTGTCACTCAGTGCAGAGGCTTGCCAGACGTCAGTAGCCATGACTGTAGACTGTTACTGTACTTTGGAGGAGTTTTAGCAGTAAGCAGTCTAGAGCCAAGGTATTGATGCACTGACTGATAAAACAGAGCACTAGCATATTATTCAATCTGGCTGCAGTGAGTAAAGTACTCGCATACCAGCCCATAACAGCATGCAGAAGGAGAGGTGGGGGTGCAGAGTAAGGGATATAGCATGCTGTTGCCCTTTGCTGAACAATGTAATGTCAGCCATAATTGCATTACATAAACAAGTCAAGGTGCAATGTGCAAAGGAAAAGGAGCTCGTTGCAGTTTCTAGAATATTGCTTTGGCACATAGTATGAAATTAGCCAAATTAGATCATGCACTATGACACATTACTCCAGGAAACAAACAACATGGCCTTTCCTGCCAGAGGCCCTAGGCAATGCAAGGCCAGACTGGCGGTTTCATAGCTCTCTTGTGTTTGTGGTATTGATTTCCATGCCGATTATCTATGAGTCAGCCACAAGATAGAGATGGACGGAAGAATGGGGTGAATTGGCAGCTTATGCAAGCCCAGCTGAGTAACTCTCGGACTTACGTCAGCAGTCAGGAAATTTATGTACACTCAAGCGCTCATCGGATATTTGTGTATTGGCTGTTTGGCCTCTTTCAGACAGGGTAAAGTGGTTGGTGATGGTGATTTGTGTATTTTCACATAAACAGTTTCTCTTCTGGAGGAATCTAGAAATGTGTGGAGAAAAAAAGGGGAAAAGCACTGTGAGTGAGGATAGTGCAGAAGTTGGTGTTGAAGCCCAATCAGAGGTTACCACTGACTTCAGCTTGTTCCTGCATCATATTTATTTTTCTGTTTATCTCCAATGGGGTCACTGTCAGTACCTTACATTAGTTCTCACATTAATAACATTTATCAAAGTGTTAACTCTTACTCATATAGAGCAAC